GGGGGAGAAGAAGGGGGGATGGGAGAAGGAGAAGGGGAGGAAAGGGGAGGAGAGGGTTATATATATATTATATATATCGTCACAAAATATATACATAGACCCGGCGGAAAACGACAAAAATAAAAAAAAGTGGCCAGTGTGGAGTGACTCCTGTCGGGATCGCCAACATAGAGGCGGGATCCTGCTTCCCTCTCCGGTACACGTTCAGTCCTGACATGAGATCCCCTCCCCCTCGACTACCTGCCGCGTCAGCTTATCCACTCCCACGTGTCATCGTTATACCCATGAAGATTTCCCATGAAGATTCTCATGAAGATTCCCATGAAGATCCCCATCCCACGAAGAGTCCCATGAAGAGTCCCTTGGAACGTGATTCCTCAAATTCAACCTCCTCGAATTTTATTACTAGGGATTAAAAAAAAACAAATGACGATCCCCCACCGATGGCCCTAGCTCACTTGATACACCTATACACCCATGAACTGCTGAATTACAGACCCGTCCTGTGTTCGAGTCTTGACGAACCTAGATGAATGCACCATCCTAATTTTATCTGACCCATCAGTTTTTTTTTAATTTCCTATAGGGGAGGTCAACTCGATGATGAAAAAAAAAAAAAAAAAAAAAACTCGATGATGAGAAGAAAAACTGAATTCATTTTTTTTATCTTCAAAAAAGAGAGAAAAACAGGAAAAACTGAATTCATTTTTTTATCTTCTTCTTTACAACTCTCCCTGTTCAGAAAGAACCTCTTTTGCGTACAAGGCCGCCCACGTGGATGTAGGTTGAGCGGCGGCTGCCCCCACCCCCGTGTGTCATATCGACCCACTTGCACACAGCCAAAAGGCAAAGAGGCAAAGAAAAGAGGAAGGGAACAGCCAAATAAAACAGAACAGGCCGTAGCGCTTTTAAACGCAGAAAAAGAGGACCCAACAGAAAAAAAAAAGAAAAAAAAGGAGGAAGACAAGAGAAGAGGGAAAGAAAGAAATGAAAGGGGAGAGAAGGGTGGAAAAGGATAGAGGTAAAGGATAAACAACCAAGATATATTCAAATGAAGATAAGGAATCGAGATGATAGGGATGAAATTCAGAAACTACCAACTAGACCCAACAGCTCAGGCCGTACTCACACTAGCACCACCGTAAATGTATCTGACCGCATTTACAGTCAGACGTGGACGTATCTGGCCTCAATAACGTCAAACAATTGACCGCAATAACGTAAAAAAAAATCCCAGTAAAAAAAGAAGTCCCCTAGTGTGAGTCAGGCCCTCGCTTGGTTTTTACACCCATGACCTGTTGAAATGTAGAGACCTGACTCGCCTGAGTTCCAGCCCACATGACTGTAAATGCGGTCAGATACATCGTCACCTGAGTTGGAACCCGGACGGAACCACATGACTGTAAAAGGAATCATTTCAGTAACTCTGAGTTCCCTGTGGCCGGTCAGCTCAAAGATTTGTGGAGAAAAAAAAAAAAGAAAAAAAAAAGAAGCCCAGTCGGAGCCCAAGTGCGAACCTTAATCTACTACACATAGGTCAGTCGGGATCTTGACCTAGCCCAAGATAAAAGTTAAAGACGAAAGAAAGATAAATCGATTTAAAAAAAAAAAAAAAAGATTAAGTGAGGGACGATGAAGACAAGGGATCAGGAAAAAGATAAGTATAAGAAGAGACGACGGATGAAGACCGAAAGAGGGATTAAGAAACGAAAAAAAAAAAAAAAAAGGGAGGAACGATAAAGATAAGGGGTTACGACAGAGATAGGGATAAGAGATAAAGACGAAAGACAATTAAAAAAAAAAAACGATTAATAAAATAAGATAAGCAAGGGACGATGAAGATAAGGGATAAGGATATAGATAAGGAAAAGAGACGAGGGCTAAAGACGAAAGAGGGATTAATAAAAAGATTATTAATTAAAAAAAAAACGACGGGCCACAAAGATAAGGGATCAGGACAGAGATAAGAATAAGAGATAAAGCCGAAAGAGATTAAAAAAACGATAAAAAAATAAAATAAAATAAGCCCATTAAAAAAAAAAAAAGCGAGGTTCGATAAAGATAAGGGATAAGGATAGAGATAAGGATAAGAGACGAGGAATAAAGACGAAAGAGGAATGAAATAGCCCATTAAAAAAAACAAAGATAAGGGATAAGGGATAAGGATAGAGAGAAGGATAAAAACGAGGAATCAAGACGAAAGAGGAATGAAATAGCCCATTAAAAAAAAATTAAAAAATTCAGCATGAAGATAAGGATAAGCGATAGGGATAGGGATAAAGAGAGATCCACATTTGCACGCCGTTCCTCAGATTCAATGTATCTATCTAGAACTTTTAACTACGGACAAAAAAGAAGAACAACGATAAGGATATGGATAAAGTGACGATACGAAAAGGATAAAGTTGAGGATGAATTCCGGAATGAATGTGCCCTAAAATTATGATTCACATTCATCCAATCAATCGTATGATAGATATATCCTATCCTATATAGTATCTTCTATATATCTATATATAAAATATATTTTTATATATATAGGTTGGTTGTTTCCCGTTGTTCTGCCTTTTGGAAAGCGGGGCGGTGCTTGCATGTGGGAATCATCTCATCATCCAGGATTGTTTTTTATACCTGTCCTCCGGGTTCTTTTTTTTTTTTTTTTTTTCGCAGACAAGAATGGTTGACATCCTGGTTGGTCTTGTCCCGTCGTTTGGCCTGTGTAGGACTGGGGCGGTGCTTGCATGTGGGATTTGTCATCTGGGATCTGTTTTGCTGCCCCCTGTTCTGTCTGTTTTATTTGGCTGTTCCCTTCCTCTTTTCTTTGCCTCTTCGCCTTTTGGCTGTGTGCAAGTGGGTCGATATGACACACGGGGGTGGGGGCAGCCGCCGCTCAGCTCAACCTACATCCACGTGGGCGGCCTTGTACGCAAGAGGTTCTGAACAGGGGGAGTTGTAAGGAAGAAGATAAAAAACAATGAATTCATTTTTTTCTTGTTTTCCTCTGTTTTTTTCGCCTTTGCGATCTGATAATCATGTGACGATATATAATATATAGATATACATATCCTACATTGCCCTCGGATAGGATATGATGGCCACGGGATAAAGTTAAGGATGATTTTCCGAATGTATGTGGCCCAAAATCATGCTTTACATTCATTCAATCGGTCATGCTTTCCCCAAAATTACCCTCGAATATGATGACCATGGGATAAAGTTAAGGGTGATTTTCCGAATGTATGTGGCCCAAAATCATGCTTTACAGTCATTCAATCGGTCTTATGCTATAGATACGTACTATATAGATATGATAGACCATCGTCTTTTCCGAAAAAAATGGCCTCGGCTCAAAACCCATCCAAATTCAGACCACCAGCAAAATCCACTTACGTTCCACCCATCCATCCAAAATAAAACGTCAGCGGATTAAATTACATTTTAATAAAGATCGAATTTTATTTTCGACATGACACGTCATCATCGGTGGATAAGGATAAGGATAAGGATAAGGTTGAAGAAATCGACTCTTGTTATCCAACAACTGTGGGTTTTTTTTTCTTCGGTTGCAGATGGAGATCATGCACTTGGACGCCCTCGACGTATAGGTACAGAGTCGTTGTGCCTGTTGCAGACGTTTCAGAAAGCCCGCCGAGCTTATCCATAAGATTTTCCAAAAGGTTGCTGGCAGCACCAGTAGATTTGTTTTATTTTTTTGTTTTTTTTTTTACGTATTTATATTAAATAGAATAACTGAAAATAGGTATTAAGAAAATCATAAGCATCTCTTTTTTTGGGCACACTTTTGTGTGGTGCCAATATAATCCTTATTGAAAAAAAAATACAAATAAAAAATAAACGTTCGCCGGCCATACCTCAAAACAATTAAGTAATAGAAATTCGGCATTATCCTTGCGTTACAGTCACTCATAACGTTTTTGTTTCTTTTCTTTTCTTTTTTTCTTTTTTTGTTTTCTTTTTTTTTTTCTTTTTTTTAATCCTCTTCTCTTTATCTAACTTTCAATAATGTTAAACATCCCAATCTCCGCGTATTATTATATTATGATATCACATTAAATAAATTATTATCTTAAAATAAGTAGATAGATATTGTGTTGCGATCATCTTTTGCACCGTTTCTCTCCGGCCACTATAATTTTTTTTTAGCAAATATAATTTATAATAACCAGCAACAAAGATTCGGCCTTATCCCTACATTCCGTTCGATCATTCTCATCCCCTTATCTTATCCTCTCATTTCCAAGAATATCGGCATTATCCTGGCATTCTCGATTACGCTATTTTTAAAATATACACATCTATAATATTAGATATTATATGTATAAATATATATAAGTGTGACAATATATACAAGTAATAACGCACATAGACACACTACGACTTTCTGGACGCTCTTTCAGAGAGACAAAAGAGGGCCCGAAGATCCATACTAGAAAAGTGGTCCTGGATCTGGCGGAGATAGCCGTCAGATACATCCTGCAACTCCTCAAGAAAGAGTTCCGTACCTTTGCAACTGATCGTCTCGCCCACAGTCGACATCCTTGGAGATCACCCGCACCACGTACCGCTCTCTCTCTCTCTCTCTCTCTCTCTCTCTCTCTCTCTCTCTCTCTCTCTCTCTCTCTCTCTCTCTCTCTCTCTCGCTGGCTGGCTGGCTGGCAGTGGCGTGCGCACCTTCCGAAGATCCGACGGCGGAGGAATTGTTTGTGCGTTTCACATCTCATCAGTCGTCCGCCGCCTTATGTTCAAGCGCCATAGCCAGAGCCAGAGCCAGAGGAGAGAGGCAGAGGCAGAGGCAGAGCCAGAGCCTTCAATATGCGCCCGCGCAATTCATGGTCTTCTGTTCTTCTCGACGACCGCGCGCTCCCTCTTGTGGTTTAAAAGGTTACAGTCGGACTCGCTGCACCCCTTACCAAATGTCCTTACCAAATGTGAAAAAGAGCGTATCAGTACACCTTTCTCGGCCGTATACATTCACCTTTCACGGATTTACCAAATATGAAAAAGAGCGTATCATTACACTTTTCTTGGCCGTATACAGACACCTTTCGCGCATTTGTCTGGTGAGTACGGGAGTGCGGCGAGTCTCACGGCAACGAAAAGGCAAAAAAAGGAAAACCGATGACCCTCAGTTGGTATACCCATGAACTGATGACCCTCAGTTGGTATACCCATGAACCTTTGAAAGACAGTCCTGAGTTCAAATCCTGCTGGACCTTCATGAATGGAATAAGGGTCTCTTTGGACACTCCTAAAAGTGCCTGTTTTTAGGATTGCGTCTTCAGATAGAAAATGTGAAAACGGCATTAGGACGAGTCCTAAAGGATTTAGGATTCCCCAGGCAAAATCGCCCTAAATTTTCCAGTAGCCCCCCGACCGACGTCGTGCGCATGCCACTGTCGTCTCGGAGTTGCTGGTGGAGAACCGGTCGGGCAGTGGTCGGACATCGGAGGTATTCTCCAGGCCGACAGGGGCAATGGCCACGGACGGTAGCCGTTGACGGGCGGGGTGGACCGCGGGGGGGCAAGCGGGGGCAGCCGGGCATCCATAGTCGACCGTTGGCTTGGTTGTGTGACGCGGAGGATGACGACAACGTGCACAGGATGACATACCGAGGCACTGCGGGCAGTGTGTGGGCCCCAACGGTCGATTTTTGAATCGAAGGCGTCCACCTTCGTCGTGTGCTTTGGTGCTTGTCGGCATATGAAGGTCATCCCGCCCTATCTGTCGGCATGCCAGAGGACACTTTTGCAGTAGTCGCGTGGAAGGGTGCATCCGAAGGCGAAATTGATGGCAGACGTGCAGCGGAGATTGCCTTTGCTGGAACTCGCTGTCGTCGTCTTCCTCCACTAGTGTTTGTCGCGCCGGCTGTGGAAGCAATGTCGCAAGCGGAGGGCGTCAACGAAACGGCCGCCCATAGAACGTCCATCTCTAACGATCATTCCGCCTCTCAAGGGTAACGCCTGCCACTGCCGCCGAAGATGCGCCCGATGCTGAACCCTGCCACAGGAGACTGCGCACGCCGCTCACGACTTGCGCAAACGCGAAAGATGGATATCCATGCTGAAGGGATCACCAGCGCAGTCATTTAAACGCCGTACGCGTCGCCTGGCCGTCCTCCGCCCTGCCACCCTACGTCCACGAAAATTTGAGTTCGAAAATTCGAACTTCTAGGTCCACGTGCGTTTCACTGACCCGTCCTCACCCGCCCAGGGCCCACCGCAGTGTATACCATGGACACCGGCCAGCAATGGCCGGACATCGGTGACGCGACTGCGTATACACATATGAAGACTGGTCGAGGTAGACCTTTTAGGACAAATCCTAAAAGATGTTTTTTAGGATTGCGTGTAACGACGCCGCAGCAAATCCTAAAATTCCTTTAGGACTCGTTCTTAAAATTTAGGATTCCTTTAGGGGTACCAGACCCTAATTCTTTTTTTTTCTTGTTTTGGCCTCAAACTATTATCATCAGACTAGCCAGCCCAGGTAAATTCAATTTTGTATCTAATCTGACACCGGGTGGCCTTTTCAGCCCAGGGTGACCTTATTGCCTTCAGGGAACCCCCAGTGGGACCGGGGGACCGACGGTAGCGGAGGGACCGAGCATCATCGGAGTTCCCATTCGTTGTGCCTCCCCGATTACCCCTCCCCGATTACCCCTCCCCCTATGAGCATCAGCAGAGACTACTTTTTATTGCCAATTGAGGGGACCAACGGGCTATCTACGTGGCGGACACCAAGCATGCCAAAGGAAGGTACATGAGGCCAATGGGGATTGAACCCGAGACCTCTTGAATGGCAATTGAGTGCCTTACCGACTGCGCTAGGCCGTTCGATAAATAAGTAATTATGAAATTACCTAAGGCAATGACCACAATGCCTTACCAACTTGCGTGCCTTACCAACTGTGTTAGGCCACTTAAAAAGAAAACAATAAAAGGAAAAAATGTATTGTCTGTTTTGCGACCAGGACCCTCTAACGCCATATTATCCCATTTACATACAGTTTTCAATCATGTGTGACAAAGTTGGATTACTCCATGCCATCGACGGAGGAAAAATCGTGCGGCATTTTTTTTCCTTTTTTTTATGTATATTATCCTTGCACAGGAGCCATGCTAATCTTCTTTGTATCGTTTCAATTTAACAGATGTCCTGATGGACAAATCATGCGACATTCTGGGTTTGAACAGATTCAGAGAAAGCGAAAAAGTTTTGCTTGAGTACCATACACACTTTCACCTTTTGTTTCTTTTTCTTTTAATCCAAAATCATTGTAGCAGCGTAGTGTTTTCCATACTTTTTTTTGGGGGGGGGTGGGGGGGCAATATTGCGACCTTGCTATAATGCTTCACGTGCACAAAAAGGCAGACGGAAAAAAGAAAAGTCATGTGTCATACTGTGTACTGCCAAATATCATAATGATCTGACAACAACGACCTTTAGAGGAACCATTCCATAGGTCACAACCCATTGGTCGAGGGGAGTACCCTAAGATTAATTTTACTTTCTTTAACTTGCAGAAAACGAGTTTTTCAAATCTAAAAAAATACAGAAACTATTTTTGAAATGTCAAAAAGGATGTCACACTCTACTGTCCCACAGTATAATATGGCGCTAGTGGGTCCTGGCCCTCGGTAGCATCAACTCAGTTGGTACACCTATCAACTTGAAATACAAAACTAAATTTTGTTCAAAAACGAGAATTCCCTTTATGCCCTGTCCCAGTGCCCAACTTGCGTCTATACCCCGGAAATGGCATATGGACCAGCGCTCCCCTAATGACACTGTCACTTAATTTTTCTCGAATAAAACATACGACGTTAAGCGCATTGGTTCTCGCCTTTTCTACAAATGTGGAATCCCTCTCGGTCACGTTATGCAAAAGTAAAGGAAAATAAGAGACAATTTGAAGACAAGCGTAAATAATCCCACGAACCACTGAGACGGTCGCAGTTGCATTGTCACCTCGCCACTCTAGTAAGGTATGTCAACCATACCTCTCGCAGTCCCCTATGACAGAATAGGTTCCTACGAGGCACAACTTACCTCACGCAGAGTAAAAGAACATAAAATAAAACTTTAAAATAATGCGTAAGTAATCCCACGAACTGCCGAAACATAGTGAGGAGTGCTTTTTGATTTGCGAAAAAAGCAGGAGCTGATGCGTTCGACAACGACCGAATATAACTTACACACATTGTATCTAAATCCAATGTACGTACGTTGTGCTCAAATGTAATGTATATACGTTGTATTCAAATTTTTGAAAAAAAATAATTTTTGTAAATGATATTTAAAAGTTAAAAAAAAAACATACAACATTACAATACAAACAACTTTTGTCTGAGCATAATATCAACATTCCAAACCAAATTCGACGGAAAATAAAAATGATAAAAAATATATTTTTTACAAAAGACAAGGTAATCAACGTTCGGGACGGGCCGAACACCCGAACCCGAATGCCCAAACGTACGGAACCCCTAAGGAATGCGTTCGGTCGTTCGAGTCGAACGCAGACATCAGAAAATAAAATAAAAGAAAAACACACACACACACACACACAAACACACATACACACACACACACACACAACAACAACAACAACTTATGTTATGAAGTAAAAAAAAAAAAAACAGCATTTGGATGAACATTATATCCAAATCCCTTATCAAATGTGAAATAAAAAAATATATATAAAAAATCAAACTAAAAAAATAATAATAATAAAATAGTAAGTGAGCGACCACGTTTTTAACACCGCTATTTTTGGTGATTTGTCTTTTTTTTTTTCATAGCCAAATGCCTTAAACATTTACAGATGCGTACTTAACACAATATAAAACAAATTAAAAAAAAAAAAAAAAAAAAAAAAACATTTAGACCCCGTAATAAACTGAAAACAAAAAGTAAAAAGTGAAAAAAAATAAAATAATGAGCGGACGAGCAAGTTTTAATGCCGCAATTTTGGGCGAATTTTAATTTTGTTTGGCTTAGCAAAATGATTTCTAAATTTATAAGCATATACCTCACATCATAGAGAACTACAAAATAAAAATAAGAAAAACAAACTTATTTTTAGGCCCCAAAATAAGTTTTGGCAGGGGCCTGACGCCTTCGGGTTCGGACCTCGAAACTCTGTACATACGGAGTTCGGTCCGAGGACCTTCGTACGTACGAGCTGGTGACCATGACGATAGGGGTATTCTGTTTTTTATTTTTTAAATTTTTTGATAATTTTTTTTTATACATTAAAAAATTATAAAAAATAAATTATTGTGTAAAACGATGTACTGAGCAGGGTTGCTAAGCCGAACGTACGGAGGTTCCCAAGCTGCCCTTCGAACGTTCGGGCGTTCGATTCCCCGTACAAACCCTGAACTGGAAGGGGTTCGGACCCCTAAAAAAACTACTTCGACACTTAATATTATTAGTTGCTTCTGAATTTGTTTTTTTTAGTCATCTGTAATGAAAGATATTTTCCTCTTAATTTTGAAGGCATTGTGTTGAGCTAAACAATAATGAAAAATCGGCAAAGATTGTGGTGTCAAAAATTGCTTGCCCACTCACTAATTTGTTTTTTATTTTTTCCACTTTTTGTTTTTCCTTGATTTCGGGACATAAAAAAAATTTATAATTTTTTTAAACCTTATTTGTAGGTTCTCTACTATATAACATATATATATACAAACTTTAATGTCATTTGTCAAAATAAAAAATAAAAAAAATCGTCAAAGATGGCGGTATAAAAAACGTGTTCGCCCACTCAATAATTGTATTCTCGTTTTTTTTTTCGTTTCATTATTATAAGGGTTGCTGGCGTTCAGGACGGGCCGAACGCCCGAACGTTCGGCAGCCCCTCTCGACGCGTTCGCGCGTTTGGCCGAAAGAGGACCCCCCCCCAAAAAATAAAAACTAATAATAATTTAACAAAA